ATAAATTATGCGTTTCAGATTCACTTCTACTTTTGGCCTTCATTTTAAAGGCTGCTTTAATAAAGAAAATGCACAAACACAAAAAATGACCAATGTTCCGCTATGGTTTTTCAGACCTACCCATTTGAACCAAACACAAAAGTAAACCACTAATCCTAACAAAATGTCAACAATCCTGGGATGCTACGGGAGTCCAGTAACTCAGACTGCTCATCTAGAATCTATTCCTATCCCCAGAAAAACAACACTTTTGAGGGAGAAAAAAAAACCATGTCTACAATAATTCCATATTGTCTCCAGTTGTAGCAACGGGTTAAGCCTCAATTGTATTGGGGTCAGTAAGAGAAAAACAAAGCCATTCAAAATTAAATCAGAATGCTTACAGAAATATAATAGTTTTTCAGAAGGACTACGCTTGCCATTCTTTTTTCCACTTAATGCTAAAAAGACCAAGATTTGTCATGCTGATAACATTCTAGTGGGCTTCAGCCTAAACTGCCTCTAGCCGCTATCACCATCTATCACCTCAGAATGAGCAGAAACAGCAAATTATTCAGCACTCAGTGCATGATCAAGTCCAAGCCACTTCACTGGGAGGTTCTCAACAGTGCTGTGCACCTCCAAGGCCTGGAGCTCTCCCACTTTCTATGAATCATTAGAACATCTCTCAGCCAGTGGTTGGAGTTACGTGGCCCACGAGGTTGCAGCGTACTGCCCATGCCCTAAAGCAGTAAGATTTCGAGAACCAAAGGTAGATCATCATCACAGCTGAGTAGTCTTAGTACTAAGTCCAAGATCTGTTCCTCAGTCCTAAAATAGGAGGAGCAAGACTGGAAGAAAAAGTAAACAAACAAGGAAAACCCCGCTCTACATGAAAAGATACCAAATAGATGTGCCAAAACTAGGTTATTACACTGGTTTGTTGACGGCCATGTGACTGAAGAAGCATACCAAGGGACACCACTGAATTCCCTTAACTGAGTTTTTGAATCTTCAGAGAGAAGCGTAAGCTTGCCGAATGGTAGGGCACAAGTTTTATAAGGTGAAAATAAGCTAAAATAAAAATAGCAACAACTATAATAATACTGATGATAAGGTAAAAGACAAAAAGAAATCAAGAATGAGGCCATCAAATGTAAACAGTAGAGACCAAAGTTTATTAGTGGTTTTGAGAAGTAAAAGCTGGGTGGGTGCGTGGGGGGGTGGGGGGGAGGGAGTCACTGTTTAGGAAGTATTGAGTATCCGTTAATAGTGATGGGAAATTTGGCATGGATACTGGTGATGGTTATACAACATGATTAACGTAGTTGGTGTCACTGAATTGTACATGTAAAACATGTTGAATTGGCAAATGTTGTGTTATATGTATTTCTGCCACAATAAATAAATAAGGATGCTCTTTATGTGCTGCTATGCAAAGATCTCTACAGTATATTATTAAACGAATGAAAAAAGGTGCAGAAGAGTATGTAGAGCATGCTACCATTAAAAAAAAAAAAAAAAGGGGCCATCAAAGCCCTAGTACAATGTTGTCTTGCAGGCATGGGGACGCCAACCGACGCAGAGCAGAAGAGGCACTGCTGAGTCTGGTATAGACGCTTACCCCAGCAAACCGCTCTGGGCCACGTGATAGTGGCTCATAAAGTCACTGCAGCTGCTTCTCCTCTCTTATAGGTGAAGGGCCTCAAGGGAGAGGGCCCTGCTGTGTAACCTTATCCGGGAAGGAGAGGAAAGCTGAGCACTTTCTGAGCCTTTCTTGGCCTGATGTCAAAGTGCTATAATATCATGAAGCTTCAGGAAAACCAACAAAAACACTGTAATTTGAGATGTTCCTGGTGCTCAATAAATAATATACCACAATCTAAGCCACTACTCTGTCTCTAACCAAACTTTCGGAACTTAGATTCACTTACCCACACTATAGCCCTTTTCCTTCTAATGTTCCCACACTCCAGCTGCCGAAGAGTCAGTTCTGACTCATGGCAACCCATGCATGTCAGAGTAGAGCTGTGTTCCACAGGGTTTTCAATGGCTGATTTTTTAGAAGTAGATTTCCAGGTCTTTCTTCCAAGGTGACTCTGGGTGGATTTGAACCTCCAACCTTTTGGTTAGCAGCCGAGTGCATTAACCATTTGCACCACTCAGGGTTTCCTTTCTAATATTAGCTGAGATCAAACTAATACTGGGTAGAGGAGAGGAATGTCTGCAATTCTGTCTTAACCTTCACTAGTATGGGGTCTTTAAACAAGTTACTTAATTTTTCTGGGCTTTAATTTTTTTTAATCTGTAAAATGAAAGAAATGGATTGGCTGATTTCTATGAATCCCTCTGTAAATTACAGGTAATAACTCTGCTTGACCTACTTCACAAAACCGTAACAAGAATAAAAAATAAAAATAAAGGAAAGCACGTAACAGGGCTTTGTACACCGTAAAGCACTACACGAGTTTGAGGTATTATAATTAATAGTGTTCAAAAGTACAACTGGTGGCCTTAAAATAATTTAGCCAGGTAATTTAAGAGATGGAACAAGCTGCACACTCCAGCAGATACCCCTTACCTGAGCCTCTCAGGTCAGCGCTGAGTGAAGGCAGAAGGCGCAAGGCACCGCGGAATGCGGAATGCCACAGCTGTAAGTCACAGACATGGCCAGAGGTGGTGGCAGAGTTGCCCAGTTGGGAAAGGAGGCAGAGAACCAGCTGGAGTGGGGACAGACAACTAGCGAAGGCAGCCAAGTGATTAAATAGGCTGTCTAAAGGATGACAGACACATGGGGATAGGAAGGGGCAAAGCAGTGTGGGACAGAGGGGACAGAGTTGAACAGAGATCAGGTATGCTCAGATCATCATCTGTAACCTACCCATGATAAAACAAACCCCCAAATTTACAAGTTGCTTGGTCCTAAAACATGAGTGTGTGTGTGTACTTAAACACATATTTTTAGAGGCATTATCCTTTCTAAGTCTTATAAAAAAAAAAAAAATTTTGATTATATTTTATTTTTTTAAATGTTATTTATAGAAAAGTATTTCTCAGTGCGCATACTGTTAGAATTTTGGGCAGGACAATTCTTTGGTGTATCAGATGGTCCCAACATTACAGGATTTAACATCCTTTCCCCCACCCACTACATGCTAGTAGCACCCTTCAAACACTAATAAAGACATCCCCCACACTCCAAGTGTCCCTATGTGGTGGCACCCCCCACTGCCACCACTGAAAACCACTGCATAAGAAGGAACATCTCTTAAGAACTTCCCGCCTGTTTATATCATTCATCAATAGGCTATACCACTAAATTGCTTTTAAAAATTTTTTTTGGATATATCAACTTATTAAAATGAACTGTAAATTTTTTGTAAAAAAAAATTCCTAAAATGTATTCTGTATAATGCAAACATCAGTGTTTAAAGAAACATACTGAAATATCGCAAATAGTGGAGCTCATACCTGGACAGGAAAATACCTAAGCTACCATTATTAAATATCATATAGGGACCAAAACTATACTGCAACAAAACTTAGAGCAATTGGACGTAGCTAGAAGGATAGCCTTTACTGATGCACTCATGCCATGTTTATGTCTCCTATCCTGACCTCTGAAACTACTTCCTATTAATCCAAATACACATAGAAACATAGCTCTCCCAGGACTCTCTTCTGGTGTTCCTAATTCATTTTGCTTTAATTACATGCAAATATCCCCCAAGAATATTCTTCTTTTCTGTCTAATCATTTCTCCAAAGGTAAACAATAAGGAAGTTTTGTTTTTTTGCCCCTCATCTGATTAAGAAAACACAATGGTTAGTTAATCTTGAGGTCTATGTTTTGCTTTTTTTAAACACTGCTTAAAATACACATTTCCTATGAGTAAAAGCCTTTGGTCTTCAAACACATGATAAAGGAAAGGATCTATGCACAAGAGAATTTCAAAAGGGTCAAGTCAATGTTTGGACAAACTCCACATAGTATGAATCTTTCTTGTCAGCACTCACCAAAACTAACTACTCAGCATTTCAGCTCTTAAATGCATACATCTCTTTAGGTCCCATCGTTTTTAAACGTACAGAGGGTCAAAGCCACCAGCCTCTTGCCAAGATCACATGTAAGATGGGTGATCACATATAAGATGGGTGGGTGGATAAAAGGGGAAACAGTAAAGTGGAAGGGGTATTCTCCAATATTTTCTTAAAAACAATGTTTACTGAGCTACAAGTTGCCTACTGGTACTTCAAAAATCCCTTTATAATTGCTCATTGAGATGCTCTGCTCTCACAGAGGAACATTACTTTAAGGGATTTTAAAAACTTGAATAGAGTTTTAAATTATATCCAGATTATGACTGGCCATACGTATCACCAATACCTTTAAACACAGGTTACATAACTATTTCCCAGGATCCTTATTATTCCTCAACTATCTCTCCTGTAAGTACTAAGTATTTCTTGACAGTGAAAGAAATGAAATCTCTTTCAAATCTCCAGGTAATTGCCATGTCCCAAATAAGTGGTAGATCAGTAGTATCTGCAATTAATGGCACTTCTCTGAATATCTCTAAGAAAAAAATTGGAACCCTGTGCTTAGTGATTTAAAATGATACAAGTGCATAAAAAAGCAGTATATTACATGGAGTGAGGTTTTTCTAAAAGATTATGCCAATTTGTCTACTAACTGAAAATTCACGCTGCCATTAGGCGTAATTCTAAATAAACCCTATTTTCCACCCAACTGCCCAAAATATCTGGACCTACTTCCACGATCATAAGATTTACTCCCCAGCATTACAATATTTACTTCTCCCCCAGCGGCCTGCACTCAGTGGAACAGTACCAGGGAGGAGTCACCAGCTTAGCACTTCCCAGGCTACATCCTCTATGTCAAGTGGCAGCCCCAGATTCCTTACTCACAAAGGCCTACACATTCATATTTTACAGCCCCGGGAACAGGTGCCACCCTTGCACCCTTTGATGACATTAGCCCTTTAGCTAACAGGTTCTCACTTGGTGGGAGAGCCTCGTCCACCCTCTGGTACCGGCTCACGTCCTGGCGCACTGAAGGTAGTGATCTCAATGGCTGGTGGCTGTTGGCTTGGGAACCTGGGATTAGAGGTGAAAAAGTTACCTGGGCATTGTTTCCCCCTTCAGTACCCAGACAGTCTTTATAAAAACACCTAACATAAATCCTGGGGTTAGAGTCTTTTTCTGTCTTCTGTCTCATTTCATAAATGAGGACCCAGAAACGAAAGAAGAGAATAAGAGTGAATGCTTAGTCAGAAGAGGGCCTTGGAGAAAGAGGCCTATCCATCTTCCGCATGCATCCCTCCCTCACCTCCTTCCCCTCCTCATGCCTCCCCCACTGTGGCCCTTGTCCTGGTCATTCACTGATCTACTAATGCTTTAGGGTCACAGCAACAATGGGGAAAAGAAAAAGGAGGAGGAGGAGGAGGAAAAGGATAGTCTAAGTAGAAAAATAAATTACGGAATAGGAAAATCATTCTGATTTTTGAGTCTCTGCTATTTAAGCAATATGAAATTATCCTTTGACTTTTTAATGAATCTATAATAGAGTATTTTAAAGGAATCATCTATCAAACCACATTCACTGAAACAAAAATACAAATTTTATGTGTAAATTTGCATCCTCAGACACTAAAACCTTATTCTTCAAGCATCACAACGCACCACCTAAGTAGTTGACATTTCTTATGCTGCGTAAGGCAAAAATATTACATTTGATGCAAAGCACATGTTAATCTTCTGTTTTGTGCAAGGAGGAGTGACTTAAGGCGTTCCTGATAACCTCTGTAGATTACACTCATGCTGAAGCTGGCAGCCTGTTTTTGTTTTGCATCTGCAAACACAAGTCTCAAAAGAGATTCATTATTTAAGTCTGAAGACTGCTGCTTGACAGACTGCAGAATGCCTCCTATTTCAGCAACAGAAAAATGAAAGAGAGGATCAAATGCGGACTCTACCTATTTGGATACAAATTGTGGCCACCTTCTTCCTAGCTATGTGGTTGATTAAGTCCCTCAGGCTCCTCAGCTCTGAAATGAGAGGCCTGATCTAGAGGAAGGGTTTCAAGTGCCTGCACGTTTTCTATCTGGTGCCTTTTCTTCCTGCCCTGTTTTCAATCTTGCCCCTCCTCCTCTTCTTACTCTTCCTTTTGGAACCCAAGGTAAAGAATTCAGATAATATGTGACCTGCAGTATAATTTACATTGAAGGACAAAACCACAAGACTCCTCTTTGAGCAGCTGTGCCTGGGCCATGAGCCATACTGTCTTCCACATCCTACCTCCCGTTGCACCCTCCTCCTGGGCAGTGGCCCCTTCACAAGTGCCTTGGGCATCCCCAGCATCACCCTCTTCTTGGGGCTGGTTCTCAGCAGCAGCAGCAGCAGCTCCCTCCAGGCTCCCCCTCCGCTGCCAGACCTCCCCCATCTCCTCTTGGTCAGGCAAAGTGGCTGATTCTGGCCCTTCCTCCTCCCCACTGGACACCTGCACCACAGGTAAAGAACTGGGAGTGCAGATGGAATCCTGTGACCCTTCGGCAGGGCCACTGCCGGTGGGCTCTGCTGCACAGGCTCCATCTTCCTCCTCCTGAGAAGAAAAAGCAGGGGTTTCGGGAAACCGTGCACTCTCAAGAGACGAGCAGCGCGTCTCCACCGAGGACAGCTGTGTGGTAACGCTCTCATTGCAAGAGCTATCGGCGCCTTCCAGGTCACTCTCTCCCTCGGGCCTGGTGCTGGCCTCACTCACGCTCTCTGTCCTGGCAGGGTCACTGGGTTCCGTTTCAGAGGACACCTGGGACCCCTGATCAAGGGACTCAGTCTCACTGATAGCTCTTCGGCTTCCTCCTGACGTATCGGAAGTCCCCGTGTCTGCCCCACTTGTGGGCTGATCCATCTCTTGAGAGCCACACAACTCACCGCTGCCCCGGTCAGCACTTTGCTGAGACTCTTGGCCATTCTCGTTTTCATCTGGGGATGGGCCTGAGGGTAAGGAGCTTTCTGCAAGCTCTGGAAGATTTTCTGGCTTATCCTCAAAGGAAGTGGCTTCATTTGCGGCGGCTTCCTCATTCTCAAATGGGTTGTCTTCTAGCTTCGTCTGAGATGCCAGGCTCCCATCATCATCAGCTCTTGATGCCCTGCTAAACATTATTAATCCGCCTTCCTCCTCCAAGGAAGATGGATAACCCAGGTCTTGCTGAAACTCGTGATCTTCTTCATCTGAGTCGATATGAAGCATTGCATTGAGTCTTGTGTCAGTGGGAAAACTACTCCTTAATTTCGGAGAGGCTCCCATGGACCTCTCTGAGCAGGTAGCTGCCCCTGGCCTGGAATGGCCATTATGTTCAATAGCGTCTAAATAATCATTGAGTGAATCCTGACGTCCTCTGGGAGGTGAGGTCCTTGAAGAAGTAGAGATTAATTCCTCTGTGTCTATTTCTAGAGTGGAGCTAGTCCTGAGAGAATGTTTGGGGGTCCCATCAGCAGCACTGTCCTCAGACACTGGTCCATTGGAGCACACTGGGCTATCATGGTGGCCCCCTGGCATGTCTTCATCGTCAGAAGGGCTTCCTAGATCTCCATTCACAGTACTGACTCCAAGTATTGTGCCCACAGCTTCTGGAGAAGCATCTGAATGAGAAACCAGCATTAAAAAAAACAAAACAAAAAATGAAATAGTAATGACAAATTAACTTCTTACATCCTATTCCTTTGCCACCTATCCATTCAAACAATTCAACCTCTTCTACATCTTTACAGACTTGCTCAGATTCCCCACCCACTAGAACTAAACAAGTATATCTCTGTTAGTTTGGCATGAGAGGCATACATACTATATATACTGCTGGGAATTCTATAGCCCACTTTCAAAGTGCAGATATTTTTTGATAAACAGGCTTTTCATATCTGCTTAGAAAACATCAGCAGAAAATCATCTGACAGTGATTTTATTTTCAGAATGGGACAGAAATTCTATTCAAAGCAGACTGAAAACCGAGTAATATTCTTCCTATGGCCATATTTACACAGACTTCTCACCTTCATGAACAGAAGATGTAACCTCCACTTTAAACTGGAGGTACCCACTCACGTGGTCAGCTGGGAGCCTTCTGCCAAGGTTGTAGCTGAGCATTTGATCACTGCAAGAGGAGAAAGGGGTTCTTTCATCCTTACTACACTGGTGCCAGCCTCCACCTTCTTCCCGTAGGCTACCCCACAAACCCAGCACATTTCTCTTAAAACTTTCAGACTCAAAACTAAAGAAAATAAAAGGCTCAAGGCATTTTATGGTGCAATGGAATGTTATTCATTCATTTGCACAAATTAACACAAACCCAGGGATAAAAGGAAATCTTGTGTGTTTAAGGAAATTTATTAGTAAAAGTAGAAAATACAATACAGTATTATTATATGATGTTTTCTAAGGCCACTGACTGACTCTGTCACTGTTAGGGGTGACCAGGGAAAAACCATTCTGAAGGTCACCAAAGAGCAACTGAGGCTAGTTTTAGGTGTTTTTTTTTTTGACTCAGGTGTAAGAGTATAGAGGGCCTGGCTCCTGAGCATTTAACACAATAGGAATCTGGTTCCAAAAGGACACTTGTAGCTAAGGAGTTAGGAGAGAACGCACAACAACTGCCCTGTCCTGATACTAAGCCCTGGCCCTGTGAGTGGGAATGGGCCACTTAACCTCTCCTTCCTCACCTGTGAGGTAAGGGGTCTGCAGATGTTGGCCCTCACTGTTGGTGATCTTGGCCTATCATTTGATTCTCAGGTGGCTTGTAAGTGATGTTGATGGATTGGCTGAAGAAGCTAGACTTGCACTGTGTCAGGGTCACGTGCCCACCCCTGAAAGCATGTTGGAGTGGGGGGTAGGGGGGAAACCAGGCTAGGCCTGCCTAGTTTCCACCCCTGCCTTGGCCCTAAAGCAAAGGAGGCAGGCCTCCTCAAGGACAGATTTGTTTGTCGATTTCAATTTTGTGTTTAGTTATCAAAGTCAAATAAAACTACATCATTTTCTTGTATGCAAGTAACTTTTGTACAGTATCAAATGATTTATTCTTAATTAAGGAAAATAATCAAAGGGCTAATACCACATCACACCATATCTGCTCTCACACTGCCCACTACTGGCCATTTCAGAAGGAAACATGATGCCTCTAGTATTTGTACCACTGTACAGTTAAAAAAAAAAGCCGCCGAGTCGATTCCTTCTCATAGCAACCCTACAGGACAGAGGAAAACTGCCCCACAGGGCTTCCAAGGAGTGGCTGACTGGCTGGATTCCAATTGCTGACCTTTTGGTTAGCAGCCGAGCTCTTAACCACTGCACCTCCAGGGCTCCTTAAGGAACATATACTAATCTAAAATCCCCCTTCAGCTCTTAATGAATTCTTCTGACTTTATAGCAAGAATTTCTTAAAACAATGAGATTATTTCCTTTATATTTTTCTTTTACTTTTTATAAATTCCTTATGAATTCCTCTAACTTAGCAGCAAGATTTTCTTAAACAATAAGATTGCTCCCTTTACCCTTTTCTTTCCTAGGGCTAACATTCTCATATCTTTTTTTCTTGATTGATACTTTCAAAATGTTTTTTTTTTCCCCCAAAATAGAGTGCTTGCTGTGTGGCAAGTACATTCAGCTAAGAACTTGACATGCATCATCTCATTTAATCCTCTGGTAACCCCGTGAGGTAGGTGGTGCTCCATTTTCAAGAGGAGAAAACTAAGGTATAGGGAGGCTAATTAACTTAACAGGCAACTGTTAAGTGACAGACCAGGAGTAGAACACAGATCCATCTGTTGCAGAAGTCCCTGCTCTGCAGTCTTTAGACATGATCTCACTATATGTGTGTTCCCAGTGATTCCAGGCTGCTTTTTATCCATAGCTCACCTTAATGTGAATGCTAATAATGTTTTTTTCTACTTAAACTGATACTTAAAATGAATTCTTCTGTAAAGGGATATATAGGCATTTATAACTATTAAACATTATAGGTAAGTTAAACGCTTTTACATTATAGTATTCAAGTAACATCACATACCAAACCCACTGCTGCCAAGTCAATTTCAACTCATAGCGACCCTATAGGACAGAGTAGAACTGCCTCATAGGGTTTCCAAGCAGCAGTTGTGGATTTGAACTGCCAACCTTTTGGTTACAGTTGAGCAATTAACCACTGTGTCACGAGGGCTCCTAACATTATATAAGGGTTATAATCTATATAACAACAGCAGGGATGTCTTTTTCTCCTCACCACTGTATTCCCAGCACTTAACCAGTGCCTGACACATGAAAGTGCTCAATATTTGTCCATTAATGCATGACCCCGAAACAAATTGAAGAGACTTTCTCTCAACATTGCTGGTCCTCACCCATCTCTCTAGACATACTGTCCACAAATAATAAAATGATTGTTTCTTTGTCAAAAATAATAAATTGACCCCCTTCAACTGCTTCCTGGCCAATAAAAGCAACGTGTTAGTGCTAACGATGAATATTTATAGAAGTGATGGATTTTAGCTAGGAAATTTATGTTTAAGAAGAATTGCAAGGGAAGGCTACATCAATCTGTTTTGCTCACTAGCATATCGCCAATGCCCAACACAGTGCTTGGCATTTAGTAGGCACTCATAATAGGTTATGAGTGAGGAGTTCTGGCTGTTCTATAAAACCTCACTCTGTAAAACCTCAACTAATTCAGAGAGTCATGTCCTACTAAACACATAAAAAACAAAACCCAGCATTTTTCAAGATGCATCAATTACTTGATGGTAAGCAATAATCAGATCAGAAATATACATTTATATGTCAACAGCTGATATGCTAATATGTATCTTTCTTATTTAATAAAGCAAATCCCTAAGTATTTCTACCAGGCAATACTTTTAATCTCCTTATAGTTAAATATTTCACAATTCTGCTATTTTACGAATTCATGCTAGATTTCTTTCTAGTACATGTGACATCCATGATTGGCAGTTCTCTAGGTGTCCAGCTCTTTAAAACATTAAATGAGAAGCCAGCAAGTAATCAACAGCTTTAAGAACTGACAAGTTTTTTTTTTCCTCCCTGATCATTCTTACTGGCATACATAACTTGACACTTCCATCAAGTGTCATAATATCATGCAGATTATATTGTTAAAATTATATAAATTAAAATGATATATATCATATTTCCTATGGTTAATTCTCTCTCTCTAATCTTTTACTTTCTATAAATAATTTAAAAAACTCCCAAAAGTATATTATCTCTACTAGAAGCAATAACAGTTATTCTTAAAAATAATTGTGACAGGCAGGGCCAAGATGGCAGAATAATCAGATGCTTCCTGTGGTCCCTCTCACAACAAAGACCAGAAAAAACAAGTGAAGAGATTATATATGACAGTCTAGCAGCCCTGAACATTAAAGGCAAAGTTCAGGAGTTGGACTGAGTGGTAGAGGGAGGGAGAGATGGTTCAGAAGCAGCGATGTGTTGCCAGATCAGACCTGGAGGGAACTGGTACCCTGCAGACTGGACTGGCCGGTGTGCTTGGCGAAGCAAGCAGTGGTGCTTGGGACATGTTTTTCACATTGGGAGAGACCGAGCTGTGGACAGTCCACTCAAACCTCCAGAACCAGTGAAAAGCAGCGTTCAATCGGCAAAAGATGTGTCTAACTTACGGTGTGGATCAAACAGCACCCCCTTCAGGAAGAACCTCTCTCCCATTTACCTGCCCCCACCCCGCTCTGCACTGGGTCCCGGGTGGGCTTCAGCGACTGCCAAGTCCCCTGGGCGAGAAGTAGGACCTGTCACGCACCCTGAGCCATTTCCTAGCTTTGGAGAGGGAACAAATTAACAAACAAGAAAAAATAATCTGCCAGCTCCCCTAAGCCAGGAACTCAAGACAGACACAGCCCCTTTGCCTAAGCACAGGCATAAGGGGTCCATGGATTTTGAATGCTTTTCACCCTTGATAGACTTGTGTGGGCCCATTTCAACAGTGTAGGCCCTTATTAGCACAGTGCAACAGCGTATATACCTGAAGCCTAACTTCACTGTATCAGCTATATGATGAAGTGGCAGGTTTGTGACATTTGCCCATTAAGCAGGGTCCTCACCTACCCACATCAGAGGCCTGAGACTGGTGGCTCTAACCACGCCACCTAGCCACCCATGACGGGTCCAAGAATAAGGGGTGCCTCCCAGTCCTTACAGCCAACAGCACTGGGTGCCCATAGTCCAGCTGCAAAACCCACCCACCTATGCATTCTAGGAACAGGGACACGCTTTCCTCCCAGACACTCAGGGGCAGCCATCAGCCCCCTGCCTTGCTGAGGACATGACCCCCTACTGCAGCCAGATACCTGTACCAACTCTAATCACCCCTGCCAATCTAGGACTGTAGGTGAGAGCCTGCACCACATACTTGGTGATCGACTATCTGGACACCTGAGCTGAATCCATACAGAAAAGTAAACGGACTCCTAGGCTCACATACCTAGTAACAGCTCTAAACACCTGGTTACAGGATGTTAGAGCTTTAAAGGTGTCAATAATCAAACTAGCTCACATAAGCAGCCTATTTGGGCATATCAAAACAAAACAAGACTCTAGGACACAGTAAAGAAACAAATATAATACCTTAGTGATAGCTCGGAGACAACAGTCAATATCAAATCACATAAAGAGGCAGACCATGATGGCTTAAGCAAGTGCCCAAAACAAAGAATCAAGAAACCTTCTGGAAGAAGAGAATTTCTTGGAATTACCAAAGGTGGAATTCAAAAGATTAACATACAGAACTCTTCAAGATATCAGGAATATCAGTCAAAACGCAGAACAAGCCAAAAAACACATAGACAAAGCAATAGAGGAACTTAAGAAGGTTATATAAGAGCATAATGATAAATTTAACAGGCTACAAGAATCCATAGAGAGAGAACAAACAGAAATCCAGAAGATTAACAATTAAATTTCAGAATTAGGCAACTCAATACAAAGTCATAGGAGCAGAATTGAGGCAACGGAAGTCAGAATTAGTGAGATGGAAGATAAAGCACTTGACATCAACTTATTTGAGGAAAAATCAGATAAAAGAATTTTAAAAAATGAAGAAATCCTAAGAATTATGTGCAACTCTATCAAGAGGAATAACCTGAGTAATTGGAGTACCAGAACAGGGGGGATAACAGAAAATACAGAGAGAATTGTTGAAGATTTGTTGGCAGAAAACTTCCCTGATATCGTGAAAGATGA